ACCTTACACAGAGGGATGATGGACACTGAAACGCTGAAGTCAAAAGATTATTTTCTTTGGAAAAGAATAATAATAGCACTGGTTAGTGTGTTAGTGGTTCAATAGTAAGCCATCCATCAGATACACAGGAGGTCTAGTTTCCATTCTCGCTCGGTCGACGCACTGCTAAACCTAGCCTAGCTAACTAACCAGTTGATAAGCCTATAAAAGGTTGGGTGTAAAGCTGACAGCTTCACCCCGTAAAGAAAAACAACACCACTACCGAAATGTTTAAAGCTTGAAGTCCTATATTCCACTCAGAACACAAGGAATAAGAAAAAAGGCAACTGGTATACAACCTTAACACAGAAAAGATCCCATGAACGCATACACACTCAAGCTAGCTCAATAGTGTGAATATTCTAAGCTAAAATATATTCACTTGTGTGAAAACGCTTATTTAATTATGTTGTGTACTGGTTTTAGTGCTAAAGAGAATCCCAAAATGCAGTAGAACATTAGTGACCTTAAGAGATGAAAAGTGTTAGTGAAAATGAATAATTTACGTGAAGAACAATAAGAGAGATAACAGAGAAGATAAGAAGAGGAGTTTAAGTGAATACGATCGCAATATTATTCTTTTCTTTGAGTTTTTGAAGTACTCTCAACTGATTTATACGTGGATAGATCTTTGTTTAAGGATAGCTGAATAATTAGTACGTTCGTTTTTAAACACACACACACACACGCAGGCATACAAATTGCACATGCGCACTATAGACAATCAGAATAGTATGGATAACTCAGGGGGTAAATAAATAAACACTGTTAAGAACTCACACAAAAAACTTGGAGGATCTGGACTTCGCCAATGATATGTCTGATTTCCCACAAACTGGAAGATATGCAAGTGAAAAGCAACAAGCTGGCAGAAGAAGCATCAAAGATAGGACTTCAAGTGAACATAGATAAAACAGAGGTGATGGAGATTCTTGGCCAACACCAACAGCAACAACAACAACAGACGACAGTCAGCATAAATGGGAGGAACCTGAAAGAAACAACCTGCTTCACCTACCTGGGAAGCATCGTTTCAACTACAGGTGGAACTGACGAGGATATCAAAGCCAGAATCGGAAAAGCAAGACAGCTTTCATTACTCTAAAGTTTGTGTGGAGGACAGCATAACTCAGCAACAAAAATAAGATCCAGATTTTCAACTCCAATGTGAAGTCATTGCTACTCACTATACGGATCAGAGACTTGGCGCGTCATACAGAGCATCTCAAACAAACTTTAGACCTTCATTAACAGCTGTCTCGCTCAAAACTCAAGATCAGATGGCCGGCCAGAAAAGATCAGCAACAAAAGTCTCTGGGAGCGAACCAACCAGGAATCGATTGCGAAACAAATAAGCAGGAAGAAATGGAGATGGATTGGCCATACACTGAGGAAACCATCAAGTGACATCACTAGACAAGCCATTGCTCGAGTGGAACCCGAAAGGGAAGCGACTAGTTGGTCGTCAGTGCAAGGGTGACTTGGAGGAGGTCATGCGAGGAGGAGATGAAAGCATGTGGACAGACTTGGAGCGGAGTGAAAAAGTTGGCAGAAAACAGAAGGCAATGGAGACGCGCAGCTGAAGCCCTATGTTCCTCTAGGAATTAAAGGATATAATAATAATAATAATAATAAAGAAAGTAATTCCTGAATAATAAATGACTAAAAGTCGTTTGTTTTTCCCTTTTGACGATCAACAACGAATACGTTTTCATATTTATTTGCAGAAAAATCACATGAAAACTATAAACACCAACGTTAAAACATACAAAATAACCAATATTGGACTCAAGAAGCTACTTGATCAGTGGTAGTCAGGGTGAAATCCAGGACTAGCTAGCTGGATGCACATGCATTCTCAGTGATGGTGGTGTTCCCACTGAGATCTGAACCCAACGTGCCACGCCGTTTCAAACGTCAAAAGCCAGTGGATAACGCTTCGACGTTTGAAACAACTGGTACTTCATTCATGTCTCAGTAAGAGAGCACTGTGAGTCATTGGGTTTGATGGTACACACTCAGCTGATGAGTGGTGAATCGGATGGAATGTGTCTCCTGCATTGCACTGCTAGTCAACAATCAAGTAACGCCATGTTTACTTGACAGTATCATCTAAGCGTCCTTACTAGAAGCCGACATGATCATAGAGACCGAGCGCACTTCACATCAATAAAAACAATTAATAGGGAGCTCAAAACAACTCCAACAGATATTGGATTGCAAGTTTGATCATGAAGTCATTTCAGTTTTGGAGAATCATTGAAACTCTTCAACAGCACACACCCATCCATGACTTCACAAGACCTGTACAGTACTCCATGTTTTTCAGTGATCCTGCAAATGAAGTCGGTTAGTGATCGGAATTGAAATCAATCTAATCCGTGCTAACTAACACTTGGAGATATTGGATTCAAGCACAACCATCCAATAACTATGCGGGTTTGCAATATACCGGCATATAACCGTGCGTCGCCATTTTATGAGCAATGTCAGTTCGAAAGCTAAGATTTGTATTATGGATAGTTTTTATTAGTTAAGCTTTTTTAAGCATTTCGTTTAAAGCTGAATGTTATTTAACAATAAGAATGCATACTTGAAGTATATAACATTAATCTACTGTGTTACTTTAGTTTATAGTCAATAAGTATTAATCAGAACTGGTTATGACCTAATTTATTAGTGAATAACAGATTCTAATGCGATATACGCCTTTTACATGTAGTACAGAATATATGTTCTCCACAGTTAGTAAAAATCCCACGTAATAAACATCATGTACAATAAAATAATGTACACGCGTTTGCCAACTAGTTTATAAAGAAATGGTAACATACACCAAAGCAATCACAAGGTAACATATAATGGCACCAAGTCGATGTCTAAAACATGTAAAATCTATCTTTTCAGATTGATTTCATCCAAAATTTGTTTGTATCAGTCGGAAAAATACAGTGAAAAGGCAGGAAAATTTTCATTACCGTTCTCTTTTTGTCGGAATTTTTCAACAGTAAGGTAATGTGTGCTGTGAAGAGACAAGTATATACTCGGCAGATCACTTATTACGTGAATACATTATCGTTTAAAAACTGGGTAGATATCCGTTTGCCAGTTATAACCAGATTGAGCCGTACGCAGCTCGGGGGTAAGAAGTACTATATTAGAATGAAATGGTTTTCCAGTAGACTTTGGTTGTCAGTATTTTAAAAATAAGACCACCAGTCAATGATTAAAACTAATGTGACATTTACAAACCTAGGAAATGAATATCTTATTAAACTTTCGGCCTTGTAGCTACTTTTCAGAGTAGGGAATCAATGAAAAGCAAGAAGTACTGGACAGCTACTGCGTCCTCGTTTGAAACTCTTCAGTAGAACTCATCAATAATCCAACTAGGACCTACGAGTAACTAGGCGAGCTTATTGACCATCCAACCCCTGAGTTAGTAAAAAATCAACGGCCTGTGCATTCTAACTTATATCAATTCGTGGTATAGCAATACTTTCAACCAACACAATCTATGAGTCACCGCCTCCAACCCTAGTTATAACTTCTCATTACAATCTAGAACCTTAGGAGTCCAAAACTAGGGTAAAGCAGCTGTTCAAAGGTTCTTGATTCTCAATAACTTTCTAAATGACGTCGGTTCATGAAAAAATCTACACAGAAATATCTATCCCTGATTAAAATTAGGTGAAAATCGATTGATAACAACTTAGATTTTATCAAAAAATAAAATATTGGCCAAATGTATCGTGGCAATCTGCTAGTCACCTTCAGCAGAGATAATATTTAAAGCCTTTATAATTAATTATGATAAAAAGTAATGGTCAGATACTGGTAAAACAGTATAAAGCTTATGGGGAGTAATGACAACCAATGGTGTCCCTCAGCAATGTTCTCTGTTCCCCCATTTTCGTTTATTTTCATCATACGTGTACTAACTGGATTGCCCCTAACTAACTTTATTGATTTAGGAATTATTGACTTGTTACCAGGGTATAGTCTTGTTGACTTAGAGTATGTGGATGATTTCGTCTTCCCAGGTGAAGACCTGGCAAAATATCGAGTATTCTGAACACCTTGAGAAGAAATCTTGTTGTAGGACTGATCTGCACTGAAACGTTTACAGATTGGGACAGAATCGGTAGAGCATGTTGACCACTTCCTTCACTTGGGAAGTTGCATCAACACCAGTGGACTCATTTCTCACGAAATCTTAGCACGGATATAAAAGGCTCACGTGGCATTTTCCAACTTACGCCACTACTGGCGTTGACGTGATTTCCAGCTACCAATCACAAGATATGTGTGCTGCGAAGCAGTTTTCTCCGTCCTTTTTGTGGCCATAGGAAGAGGGCGATATGAAGAGGCTAGCTGTCTTTGACAGCGGCTGTCGAGTTGGGGCGTTGAGTTTTAGGTGACGAAAATCAGTTAATGAGTTTGCTAAGCTACACATCAATCCATAAAGTCTTTGACTGTTGGTTTGAGGCAACCCCGTATAGAAGTGTAGACTGACTGGTGGGGTCCTCTAGATGCTTACAGCCAATGGCTTGAGACTGTTTTTGATATGGCTAAAAATCATTCTCAACGCAGCAGATGTATTCACTCTTTGTGATTTTTCATATCCACTATGCTGTACTATTTCTTTCATGTTACTTTTCTTTCTCTCTTACATTTCAGCTTATCATAGTCCTTCTGAGTCTCTTTATTTCCTTCTTTTGTCTACTTTTGTGTACTGTCTAGAGTGTGACAGTTTGAACACCACTATGCTAAGTACTATGTCAGTAATTAGTCAAATACTATTCCTTTACTGCACTAACAATAGATATGCAACAGTACGGTATAAAGGTGTAATAGCAACTCGGTATAATAAAAAAAATGCAGCGATGGAACGTACAGACGGAAATCATAACACTTTTAATAAGATAATAAATTAAGCTCAATACTTGACCACCACTTACTTTGTCAGCAGTCATGTAAACTGGTAGTGTTACAGTGGAGTGACTTGCACTAGCGTTACCCATATCTTGCCTGTTTCGTTTCATTTCGATTTTGTTGTTGATCATATTTTGTTTTTAAAAGTAAAATAAATCAAAAATATATAAAAGCATCAGAATTATATGCAGGTTGTGTATTGAAAGTGTGTGCACCTAAAAGTTATGTATAGCAAAACAGCAATTTTATTTGGTTCTGCTTATCAACACAGAATCTGGTATGACTAAACAACAGTTGACATCACAGGACAAAGAAAAGATGCTATCAGGGATAAGCATCCACCAACTTAACAGCTTTGGTTCCATTAAGAAACTGAAAGTGTAGAGAAAATGATGCAACAACACCAGAAGTGGTCAAGTTATTTATTCTGTTGGGAAGTTTCATAGTTTTAAAAAAGAATTGCCACTTGTGCAGACGACTAAATGATCCACCATGATAACTGATTGATTTCATTATAGGTTAAAAACTTCAAAAATGTTATACAGACACACATTCAGTTGACGAGTTTCAAACAGGACGAAACGTCGGTCATAGAACCGACTGCTAGCCACTATCAAATCAGTATTAAATCAGGTTCTACACAATCAATAAATTTGTGCTTTATATGAGCAATGCACGGTAGTCTATCTCTAATTATCCTACGAATTGGTCAAAAAAGCACACTTGTGTAAAATGTCTAGATTTCAGTATCTCCAACTATCAACTGTCAAAATCATGTACATTTAGTAAAATCTACAAAACAACGCATTATGTTGATTTGATACTATTAACTAGTGCGATATGTCTACTCTTTCTTTTGGTGCAGACTGAATTCTATCAGTCAGGTTTGTAATGTGGCCACTATTCTAGAAAGCTCGCCATCACAGTGCACATTGATTTGATGATATATTAGATAGATGGTTGGAGGCAATCGGGAGGAAGCCTTGGACCTAGGTTTCGTGCTAGTTGGCACTCACCAGTCAGCGAGGAGCATCTGCAACTCAAAGAACTCATGTCCTTTCTGAGATTCATCACTTAATGCTGCAGTCAGAGAGGTTACCACTGAACTATTCGGACTCGCAATTGACCTCCTGTAGGACTGTAGTGGATACTTCGTCAAACCAATGTACACCATGATGGCAAGCCACCTAGAATGGTGGCCACATTGCAAACCTGACTGAAAGAATTCAGTCTGCACCAAACAAGGGACTAGACACATCACACCAGTTATTAGTGTCAAATCAAAATATCCACTACAGTCCTACGGAAGTCAATCGAGAGCCTGAATAGCTCAGTGGTAACGTCTCTGACTGCAGCACCGGGTGACGGGGGTTCGAATCTCAGAAGGGACATGAGTTCCTGACCGGTGAGTGCCAACTAGCACGAAACCTAGGTCAACGGCTTTCTCCCGATTGCCTCCAACCATCTTCACAACGTATTATTATCAACCTATATAAAACAAGTATGGCCGATAGCTTAAAGTATAAAAATATATTTGTATTCATCTTATTATGAGATTAAACTAGTCAGAGTATAAGTGATACAAAGAGGTTAATTCGGTTATGACAGCGGTGGCTTAAATCTTTGGACTAGGTTAAGTTTTACTATCCATCAAAATGCATCGACTTTACTCTGTTCCAATGAGTTGAAATCTATGCTCATGCACAATTTAAAATAAGTTTCTGCCTGCCGCCAGGGGTTTTTATTCTTTTTGAAGAAGGAAGAGGTAGTATTGGAGCATGGTCCGCATAGAACAATATTTCTTTACATGATATGTATATTCCGTTTATTATAGTATTTGAAGATTCTACACAAGAGATAAATAATACCTTGCAATGAAGTTCGCTGAAAATTCTGTATTGTGTACAGATGAATTTTTCAGAGTAAGTTATTATTATCATTGATTTGATAACTTTTTTACGAAAAATGGAAATCCCATTTCATATGCGTACACGTATATTTGAAATAATTTACTTGCGAAAATTAGATAAGGGATAAAAATAATTAAAAATTCTCAAAAAATAGTATAATAATGAGAAAAAAGGAAGTACAAACTACAGGAAGCTTAATTCATTGTTTATTTTAGCTTTTACGCAGATATAAACTAAATATTAAGGGAATATTAGGAAAATTAGGATGTTTTTAAGGGGATTGTGTGGAAACTAGTAATGGCATATAATTATCCTGAAATATTTCAAGTACTGTTTTGTAGGGATTTGATTGATTGCTTACAGGATTTCATCATGAGCTGACATAGATTAGAGGACTATTGGAAAACCTGGAATTGTTGGACAGCCAGCCGTTTCACCCTAATTTGGGACTCTTCAGCAGTTAGCGCCCACGGAGACTAGAACCCAGGACCTTCTGGTTACAAGGCTAGCTCGTAGACCATTAAGCCACTGGGACCTGATTCAATGGCCCATTGTCGAAGAGCCCCGAACTAGGACGAAACAGCTGCCCAGTACAACCAGGTTTTCCAATGGTTCTCTAATCAATGTCAGTTCATGATGAAATCCGTAACTAATCGATCAAATCCCTACAAACCAATACTTGAATATCAACGGGATGCTCACTGGCGACTTGCCCTATTCAGGTAGGTAGTTATCTGGAGTTCTAGTGGGAAGTCGTAACCAGTAGGGTGCAGCAGGTCGGGTGTGAGGAAAAATACCCGCCGAAAGCATTGCTTAGCGGTTGCGCTATGTCGTGAATTTGCAGAAGTTAGAACTCATAGGCTGGCTAATGGAACGGGTACCAGTGGCTTAATGGTCTACGAACTCGCCTTGTACCCGGAAAGTCCTGGGTTCTAGGCCCGGTGGATGCGTACCGAAGAAGAGTCCCAAACTAGGAAAAAACAGTCGTCCAGTACTCCCTATAGGTTTTCGAATGGTTCTCTAACTAATATCAGCTCATGATGAAATCCTGTAATAAGTCAGATGATTCAAATGCAATTCCGAAGCATATTTCGTGAGGAGACATCATGTTACTTGAGAAATCTTGAAAGATCGCTTTTGTTTCTACTCCTCACGTATAGATGCTGTTGTTGAAGTCGTGAACATACATGTTCCCGTTTGTCCAATAAGTTTGCGTAGCTTACCATACACTAAAGCGTATCACCGGCCATATCACAAACAATGAATATTTTGGGTTTGAGAAAGATTACCTAGGCATTAAACAGGTAATTAAATCCTACAGGCACTTCCCTTATAGCTAACTACTTCTGAGTTCGAACACCGTCGCATCTACGTAAACTTAGACCTAGTATGTCTACATTTCATATACGTGCGGCTCATAGCCTAGTGTATGAAAACATATCCAGGACACTGAGTTTGAAGTTCAAGAATATTCGACTTTAGTAGACTGGGCACACTGTTCATATCCTACTGGATAATTTGCTTTATTTTCATTTTACAACTTGAATGGAAACTCGATTCCATTCAGTGCAGAGTTGACACGTGTGAAGAATTTATAGATATGTTTAGATCTCAAAACTGCAAAATTTAAGACCAATAAGAAAAATAGAAGCAGTAATGAAAATAATTTAAATAATAATAATAGGTAAGTCTTATCAGAGACCCTAACATCGAATTCTAAAAAGGTTGGAATTAGACTGACATTCAAACCAGACAAGTGACTCAGAGATATAAGCTTTATTGATTTACAGTAGTGATAAACCCAATCAAACAAAACAATGTGAACTGCCAAATAACATTTGATGACTTTGAAACCAATTATACATGGGTCAAGCCAATACGATTGATGTCAATTAGGCTGTCAGAACATAAAAACTAAGCCAGAGCCAGGATGATTGACTCTACGAAATTAAACAATCCACAAAAAGGGGTTCGTCATTGCGATGCATTCACTTGCATGTAATTACACAATAGCGTGGAAGAGAGTAAAAGTATTAAAAGTAATATTAATTAGGTGGAGATAGAGGTTAATCACCAAATCCTTGTTACCTGAGTTAACTCTAAATACAAACAATAGGCATCACACCATAAATGCCCTTGGTTTACAGAAACTGAACTAAAAACACAGAAGGAAATAAAATTTTATAAAGGTAGTTGAGAAGTCGTTTACATATACTGGTAACGATGCAAATAGACGCAAACATTGAACATTTGTTTATTGCAAATAGTAGTCATTGGGGGGCAACTCGAATCGTTCAATCGTGTACAAGTTGGAAGAAGACGAAAGAATACGAATAAAAGTACATCATACTTATCGTAAAACATTTGTTTACAGATTTGATTTCAATTGCCAAACAATACAACTTTCTTACAAGTACTGGTGATTTTGGAGTGAAAGTCAAGAAACTATCATAGTAATTATCGGTTCGGAGCGTCTTCGCGAATAATAAGAACTTAGGGTTAAGTTCTTTGACAAACGATGATAAGCGAGATTGCGCTTTGGCCGTTAAGCAGTTATCACTGTATGTAATGTCAAATAAACGACTTCCTTGATAATTCCAACTCAATCATGTGTTATATTGTTAATAAAAATGCAGAATGTGTTATGTGACACTGATTACTCAACTCCTATGCTGTTTATTCATCATTTTCTTCTGTCATCTTTTGCGTTTTATGCCATCACCACACATGGTATATAAACAAAAATCTGCATAAACCAATACCTAACAAATGGATATCACGCATACTAAAAATACTGAACAGCTCAAAACTCAATAGGTCATTCCGTGCCCCTTGGGAGTTGAGCTCACCAACAGAGTATCTGGATTGATTCAACTCAGATAGTCAAATCGTTCAACAAATACCCAAATACAAGTCAGTCATTTAAGCAAACACAGGCTACATTCAAACCAAGAGGCTTCAACGAACGGAAAATGAACATGATTTTTTAAAAACTGATTAATGTTTTTAGAGGATGGTAATACGAAAATAAATTTACGCTATTGTGGCAAATTTGATCCAATTTAAAAAGCTTACACTTTTTGTGACAATTAGATTTTTAATCTGTAAAAGGGGTATTTAATCGACATTTCTGTCATTGTGGATCAATAACATGGAACTCAATACCAGAGTTTAATACTGTCAACTTTGTGTACTAGTTTTAGACATGAGAAATACACAAATATCTAGAGTAATATCAGCTTTCTGCCTTACATGACTATAAATCTTTACTAATGAATAGATAAGATTAGAAGTGTCATTTCTATCAGGTGGATTTCATCAGCGGGCAAATGTCAGCATTCTAACGAGTAATCAAAGACCAAAGGTATAAGTGACTAATGCTCTCGGAAATTTTATTACACATCCTCAATCCTCCATTCTTTGACTAAAAACTCCACTTGAACCGTTTATTTTTGTAACGGTGTTTAGTAGAATCTTGGAAGCATCAATAAATTATACCTGAGCATGCCAACGTACCTTCTCTGCGTTCAATGAGACTGTTATCCGTTACCCACTATTCCAAGTGAGTATGATAAGTATGATAATATCACCAATCCCAACACAGTAAGCATGGCCTATAGCTTCGTGAACGAAAGATTCATCCTAGGCAATCAGAGGTTCAAACATTATTTCAAATAGTTTTGTGATTAGTTACAGGATTTCATCATGAGAAGAACCACTGGAAAACCTAGGAGTACTGGACAGCCAGCTGTTTCGCCCTAGCTTGGGACCCTTCAGCAGTATCCACCCACCGGGATTCGAACCGAGGACCTTCTGGTTACAAGGAGAGCTCGTAGACCATGAAGCCACTGGGACCCGATCCAATGGCCAGTGCATGAATTCTAACTTCTGCCAATTCACGACATAGCGCGACCCCTAGCCAATGTCTTCGGCGAGTATTCTTCCTTACATCCGACCTGCTGCACCCTACTGGTCACGACTTATCACTAGAAACCCAAGTAACTACCTACCTGAACAGGTAGGTACGAAACGACCAATTCAATTATTAAAGGTCAAACAAATCAAGCAGATACATTTCGCAATAATAATGAATAGTTAATGATTTTTAGTTTTATTGCTTAGAATTCATTGCAGTAACACAAATATATCACATGTTTACTGTGAGATATTACATTTCGTCACTTGTAATTAGTCATATAAGTATTTTTGCATATATGAAGTGTGCAAAAATAGTAATTTTAGATTGCATATCAGCAATGCATCTTGTCTGATTGGTGTTACGATTTAATTACAGATTTATTATTCAGCCTACACTCCATTAATAAACTATATATAAAAACTTAATTAGAATCAGTAGAAAATACAAACGTTCTCTCTCTCTCTTAAATACCATAGGAAATCCTAATTACAAGACAATGATGATAATATAGTTATTTTATCATTATTAATATTATTATTGTTCCCTTGGGTTCCTAGTGGAACATAGGGCTTCAACTGCACGTTTCCATTTGCTTCTGTCTTCCTTCTGCTGTACTTTTCACCTGCATCCATGTTAGTCCATACTATTTCAACTCCTCTTCACACGGTCTCCTCCAGATCACCCTTGCACTGACGTCCCACCCGCCGCTTCGCTTTCGGCCTGATTCCACTCGAGCAATGGCCTGACGCGCGCGCGATGTCACCCAGCCGCCTCTTCAGCGACTGCCCAGCCCATCTCCACTTTCTCCTGCATATTTGTCAGTTTGCGATTGGTTCTTGTTTTGTTTGTTCCCATAGTTTCTTATTGGTGGTTCTTTCCGGCCCAGACATCTGATCTTCAGTAAGAGCGAAGATAGTTGTTGATAAAGGTCTGAAACAGGCTGTTGGAAATATTCTTTGTGACCCGCCCGCCAAGTTTCTGATCCGTATAGAAGAACTGACTGACTTGACGTTTGTATTGAAAATCCGACCGAATTTTGTTGTTGATGCTGGCTGAGTGATGAAGATTTCCAGATTGGTTTCAGTTGGTTGAGGAATGTGTTTCTCGCCTTCCCAATTGTCGCTCGATTTGACATTCTCGTCCGTTCCGACTGCAGGTAGTTGAGAGAATGCTCCCTAGACAAGCGAATGAAGTAACCTCTTTAAAATCCCTCCCGTTGATGGTGATTGGCGCTGGATGTTGCTGTTGTTGTTGACTGGTTATTTTCATAACCTCCGTCTTGTCTGTGTTCACCTAAAGTCAGTCCTGTCTTCGCCGGCTTCTTCTTCGACCAGTTTGTCGGTTTTCCTTGTAAGTCTACGATTTTGTGTGACATCAAACATGAATCATCCACACGCGAAATCCAGGTCTTCTAGGTTCTTCACGTCGGTCCAGGTTATCCCTGTCTTCTCGTTTTCCACTGTCCAGTCCACCACAATTAGGAATATCATTGGTTATAGTTATAATAGAGTTTACTTAAGGTTAAGGCAACTGTTAGACATTTGTGTACGTGTTCTAGATATGTCATAATAAGAGGCTGTAATACTTAAACAATTACGACTAACACCAGTGTGTTAATAGGTGAATGAATGACGTGTACGCATAAACACTACAGATCTGAGCAGCTTGTTTTGCCTAAATAATCAACTGTAATTATTGTAGCACAATAAAAGTCCGTACATTCTTTTCCTTTTGACCGAAATAGTTTTGTAATGTGTATTATATTTTGTGAAAACAAAGCCATTAAACGAAAATTATTTTATCACTATTAGTGGTATTATTCCACTGGGTATGAATACATGTCCATTTTTGAAAACACAACTGTGTCAAAAGTCTATGTTCACTTATTTCTTTGTTTGAAATAAGCCGACAAATATTATTATGATAAAAGAGACCGCAATATTATTTTAATTAGACATTTATAAACTATGACCTTTACGTAAAAAGTGACAATATAAAAATATTCATACATCATACCATTACATCATTCTACTTCATGATAGTGAGTTTAAAATACATCAGAGAAATCAGAATACTCTCCTATGGTCAGTCAGGGGCTATGAAAATAATGAATAAACAGATGTGATCATTCATGAATGTGATTCGCATAATTGACTACATTTAAGGTGTAGTTTAGCTAGTCTAACAACTACTAGCTGGAAGCATAAGTGGCGTGTCAGTGGAATGCGTTTGTTTAGAGTTTAAAATAAAAGGGCACCATGACGTCTTCAATAGCTAACAACAATCATTTAGATAACACTTACGACGGTGATGATCATGTGCGTCGGTGGCAAAGCTGTTAGGACTCTCGCTGACCATTCACATGGTCCGAGGCTCGATCGCCTGCCAACGCACACCTGATATAAATGGTCAGCCTGTTAAATTTGGGCTACTCATATCACATGCTGGAAATTCTATGCTTGTACCAGAAATACAGTGTGTAATCACGCTTTAATCAAAATTTTAAAGAAAATTAAATGACATCTTAAGAAAAAACACTGATCTATGATATTATATATATATATATATATATATAATTAATAATGAAGAGAGAGAGAAAGAGATCTTCAAGTTTCAGTAGCGGTGGTATTGCTTTTAGGTGATAGAATTGTCACCCTCACGTCTAACATTCTCTCTTTCGCGGGTTTACAACCAGTGTGTAAACCAGGAAAGGTTTATGAGTACACTAAGGTGCAACAACTAATTCAGAACTAGAATAGATATCACCAAATTCCTATTTCAATTTGTCCATCATTTACTTGAACAAGTTTCATGATATTACGAAATCAGTTGTTTTGCTTAAAACTTAGGCCGCGGAGCCAGGAAATCTTATTCTGTACAACGTATTTATCCTGGATTCTAGATATTTTTCACTATCCCACACTCCCAGTGAGTAGCAGAGCCATTATCACTGATAATTATACACTTATAGGACGAGTTATATTACAATTTGACTCCTCAAGGAATCAGATTTTAATCTCTGAGAGTGTATATTAATTGACTTTACATCACTTAAATATCTTGTCGATATGTGATATTTAATGAGGATGACACCATGATTGATGATTTTTTCCTTCACATTCCCAGTGGAACATAGGGCTCCAAGCTAGAGGCTTGAAGTTTCAGTGTAGCAGTGTTTATTTTAACAGGATAGGGTTGCTAGCTCATGCCCAACCTTTTCGCTTTACCAGCATTTTTTTGTTGCTGGCTTAGCGAGGTAAAGGATTGTGTTGGCCGGGGATCGAACCTCGGACCATGTCCATGCTCGGTGAGCGTCCTAACCGCTGTGCTACCGACGCTCTACAGTATATCCCAGTTCATGAACAAAGCTTTATATACGGCATATAGCGATGTACAATACAATAAAGACTAATAGCTTATCTCTTAGCGAAAGTATCAGTTACATTTAAAAAATTACACTCTTCTTAACAAAATGATAAACAAAAATAAAGAGTAAAAACTAACCAAGTGAACTGAGTCGATGATGATTCCACAAACTCTTGATGAATACGTAATCCATCTCTGCTAATTTCAATTTGATATAATTTTCCTTTATGATCCTAAAAAAAAGATACATATGTATAGGAAGCAAAGAAATTATGATTATCTGAGAAATAGCAGTAAACTATCAAATTTTAAAAGAATTTAAGTAATTATGATATCTAAAACTATTAATTATTACTTAAAATAGTGTTTCCATTCTAGTAAATATATAAATCCCAGAGGAAGTATTAATTCTTTTAACACGACACCTGACAGTCACCTTCAAATGCCCTAACAACAATTCAGAGTGCACCAAGATGACAAGCCACCTAGCTTGGTAAACTTGACTGATAAAGTTCAGTCAGCATCGATACCAAGAACTAGATATATGACAATGTTAACACCCCGGTGACTAATAAATGGATACGTTGGACAACTCAAGTGGCAGCTGGTCTAATGGATAACACTCTAACGTTTGAAAAGACGGATAACGCGTTGGAGTTCCAGTAGAAACATCACCCATTGGGTACACAAGCAGGTACAGTCGGGTGACGAGTTCAAACAGGACGAAATATGCATTTTGAATTCCACTCCCAGTCAACATCCATCAGAATCACTTCAGGGTTTGCAAACATTTTAAAATCCTAACTATAACAATGCACTTTTCAGTATTCAAAAACAAGAGGTGCTTTCATAAGTATCAACATCAGCTGCCTCTGTCAATGAGTGTATCAGACTTGTTACCAGAGAATAATCTCGTTGACTTATGTGGATGATATAGTCCTTCTGGGTGGAGACAGTGACAAAATGTTGGGTCTTCTAAACGCTTTGAGCTGCAACCTACGAATGTTTGGCATGCGATTCGCTCCACCAAATGTAAGATGATGTTGCAAGACTGGACTACACTAACTCCTAGTTTAGAAATAGAGGGAAGTGGTAGAGCACGTTGACCGCTTCACTTATTTAAGAAGTTCCATCAGCCAGTGCCAAATAGTTGATCGCTGACGAAATCTCATTACGGATTTAATGGTCTAGTTTCGTATATGCCAGTCTACGCCGTCTCTGGTGTAGACGTGTTATCCGGCTGATTGTCAGCCAAAGGCCGTGTGTACTGCTCCGCAAACCGTTCCGGCCTGCTTGATGGCTTTGAGACCCGACCATTGAGAGTGGAAGACATGAAAAGACTAGCTGTCTTCGATCATAGATGCCTGCGTTCTATTTCCCGTGTGAAATGGTATAATAGAGTGAGCGATATTGAGGTTAGGCGTCGAGTGCTAGGTAAAGAGCGGAAATCAATAGACGGTGCTGCGAAGCTACATCGACTGAAATGGTTAGGACATGTGTTACGTAAGCCTAGTCATCGCCTTCCTCGATGGGCAATGTTAGCTGATATAGGGTCAGGCTGGAAAAGAGCTAGTGGCGGTCAAACCAAAACATGGCTTCATTAGTCCACAACAGTTAGTTTAAGCCAGTCACGTAGAGAGGTGTAGACTTCTATACTGGTTGAGGTCCTCGGGATGCTCAAAACCAGTGGCTGGAGACAATCGATGATATGGCTCAAAATCGTTCTCAATGGCACAGATGCATCCACTCCTTGTGATATAATTTGCAACGAAACTAAATTGTTCTTCGTTATTACTAATCCTTCGTCTCATATCCCTGCCTACTGTCCCTATTTTGCATTTATTCTACTTTTTTCTCTTACTTTGTGTGCTACATGGAGGGAGTGTGGCGACTTGAACTGCTGCACATCGGTGCAGAGTTCTATGTTGAAAACAGAGTGTCAAACAGCCATGACTAATTAGTTAAACCAACAGAATTACACATAAATGAGTGAAGTTATCCTATTGGCAGATAACTTCACAACTAATTAAACTATTTCATAACTCAAAAAAGACAAATGTCACTGTAAATTTATTTTTAAAAATTCTTTTCATTCTATCTACTAATATTTTTTTCTAAAAAAATAATTTGAATGATAAATCAAGAATTCAGTTGGCAAATATTCTTGTTTTCTTTCTTTCTTTCTTCTCTTCTCTTCTGACTTCAACAAAATTACATTTTGACTGACATGCTTTTTTTGTATACACGTGCTCTGAAAGACAGAGAGAGAGAGAGAGAATTAAATTCTCTCTCTCTCTCTGGTAAACCACCCTCAAATTTATTACCAATTACGAAAATAAAACTACAAAGAAAAAAACAAGATTCCAGTAGTGAAATAATTAGTAGTTAGTAGTTGCTACTAGATTTTCTTCTGGGTTTTCTTCTCTCTCTCTCTTATTTTAGAAGAAGAAAAAAGTATACCCCTGTGAATGAAATTTTCTAGAGTAATAATTGATTTGATGATAGTACATTTCATTCAAAATTGTTCAGTCTAATGCATACCACTCTAATATACCATTCATTATACATGAACAGACATAGACATCATATATCAATTGGACATCAAGGAAGGCTATGTAATTACAGAGACCAACTTATCAATAGCTAATAAGCATCTATTGCAGAATGCTATAGTCATCAGATTGTTTTTAAACTGTCATTCATTTGATTGGCACACATATATAGACATAAAGCTATTTAATGGAATTTTTATTATTCAACAGTTCTGTATTTATTACAGGATTTATCATGAGCTGACACTAGTTAGAGAACCATTGGAAAACCTGCAGGAGTACTGGACAGCCAGCTGTTTCGCCCTAGTTTGGGACTCTTCATCAGCACGCACCCGCCGGGATTAGAACCCAGGACCTTCTGGTTACAAGGCTAGCGAGCTAGCTCGTATACCATTAAGCCACTGGGACCCGATCCAGTGACCAGTGCATGAATTCCAACTTTTGCCAACTCATAACATAGCGTGACCCCTAACCAATGTCTTCGGTGAGTATTTGTCCTCACACCCGACCTGCTGCACTCTAATGGTCAAGACTTCTCAGTTATGTATTTAGCAACACTTGGCTGACAATTAACAATCATCTCAGATTTTGTAAGAATTTTGTTCTAATGATAAATCGTAGTGAGTGAGACTCTATCATGTCAACAATGTTAAGGTTGATTTTTATCCAATTGCATTGGTTAGCAATAGCGCTATATCACGAACTGACAGTAGTCGATGTTGATACACGTCCTTGAATTCTAACCCAATGGCTCAGTGCTGAACGAGTCTAACCCAAAACATGAAGATCTCCGGTTAGATAGTAGTAGTAATAGTAGTAGGTGAGCAGTATTGAAGAATCCCTAACTAGAATGAAACACCTGGCAAGTGATCGTTGTTTTTCAATGATTCTAGAACTGATGTCAATTAGTGATGAAGCATCGTTTCAGCCACAGGCGGAACTGACGAGGATATCAAAGCAAGGATAGGGAGAGCAAGGCAAGCTTTCGTTTCTCTTAAGTCTGTGTGGATATCAACACTCAGCAATCAGCATGAAAAATAAGACCCGGATTTTCAACTCCAGTGTGAAGGCAGTGCTACTATACGGATCAGAGATTTGGCGTGCGCCACAAAGGGCACTTCAAACAAACTACAGGCCTTCACCAACAGCTGTCTCCGCTCATTACTCAAGATCAGATGGCCAGAAATGATCAGCAACAGGGATTTCTAGGAGTGAACCAACCCAGAAGGAACGTGGCAACTCGAACTGCTGCACTTCGGTGCCAAGTTCTATGTTGAATCAAGACAGAAGGAACCGATTGTGCAACACATATGCAGGAAATGGGGGTGGATTGGTGAGAAAACCATCAAGTAACATCACACGACAGGCTCTCGAGTCGAACCCGAAAGGGAACCTGTAAATTGGTCATCCGAGGGTGACATGGAGGGGGTCATGTGAAGAGGAGATAAAAGCATGTGGGCAGAGGTGGAGCCAGGTGAAAACGTTGGCAGAGAACCGGACGCAATGAAAACGTGCGACTGAAGCTTTATGTTAATCTAGGAACTAAGGGAAATAATAATATATAAATTATAGTGCAACAGTTTCACTGTAGGTGAACTAAATAGTACCAAGGGAAATTTTAGGCAGGAGGTAAGGCATATATGAGAAGCTTTAACGATTATCAACTACCCTGATAAATTAATCAGATGTATGTAGAAAACACTAAAAACAAAATTAATAACAATAGTAATGTTAGTAATACTACTAGTAATAATGACATGACACACAAGATATTGACAGCACCAACAATAAGGGAATTTAAATCATCAGTAGTACTTTCATGTAAAGAAGTAACCACGGAAACCTTACTTAGAGTTCTCAACAATGCAAGAAGAGAAGTGGCATTCAAACCCACAAACTCAATTAGAAACAAACTATGTGCGCTAAAAGATCCTGTGGAGTACATCAAACAAAATAATTTAGTTTACCTAATACCCTGTAATGATTTTCACGTCAAATACATAAGTCAAACAGTATAACAGGGGCGGTCAGACTAACTCAGCACAAAACCCTAGCGAAATCTAGATTAGTTGACGCTAGTAAGATAAGAAATTGAGAGAATAGTTCACCTATAGCACTCACTGCATGCAATTACATACAACCCTACTATAGGATGGGATAAGATGACACTTCTGAAATCTAGTATAACAGACAGAGTGGAGGGAGAGAGATTTTTGACTTCAGCTTGATTCCACACTGTATTTTTGGTACAGGTATGGAATTTTCAGCATGTGATGTCGGTAGCCCAAATTTTGCAGGCCGACCATAGATATCAGGTGTGCGTCGGCAGGGGTCCGGACCCCGGCCCATGTTCATGGTCGGCGAGAGTCCTAACCGCTGTGCCACCGACGCACACGAAAGCTTAATTTATCAAATCAACTGAAGATACATGCAATAAGAATGATTCAACAGCTATCCCAGAAGTCTGGAAAATGCTACTACCTCTACAACGAATGGAAAGGAATGTTGAAAACTATAAAAAGAAAGTTTCGAAGCTGGGTGGTTATAACTGATGTGATTATGAACACATACAGAACACACACATAACTATGCAAAAACAAATTATTTCTTCTATACATTAAAGCAGTTGTTTACTTTTCCCATCGCATTATCAAAGTAATCACAGACATACTCCATCCAAT